TTCATCTGTTTATTGTGTCAGAGAGGGGGTAGCAAGGTCATCGTTTAAGTAAAGTTGCGCTGAATATTTCATTTGATGTCGACGGTTAAATCGAATATTTTCAATAAAACTGTTGTCAGAGAAGACATTTTTATCACCTCATTGTCAGAGAAGGCATTTATAATATGAATTTAATTTTTATTTAACGCGTAGATATTGTAGAAAGGAAGTTTCTGGGTTTTTGAAACAAGAACCACATGGTAATTTTTTCTTCCGTTTTTGAAGGGTGATAACTTAATTTTTCATATAATGCCAAGAATGAAAATAACATGGAATAGTATTTTTAATCAAACTTATGCCAGGTGAGGATTTTTTGCCTGTCTTATGTTCCCTGACTTCCTCTTTCATCTCAAAGATTTCACATTTCTTCCACACTATTTAGCCAATATCTACTCGCTCTAGTTTCATTTCGTGACCTTTCGTATATCTTGCTATTTTTTATATGTCACTTTCCTTGCATGCTCCTTTAAAATAATTTTAAATAGCATCCAACTGAATAATTTTGAACTATTTGTTATAAGTTTAATTTTCTCTCTTTTCATAATCGTCCTACAATAACTGATGTTTATGCCTTTGAATCAATCCTTCACATAAGTTAATCCCTCTCATCTTCACTTTGTCACATATTCCAACGAGTAATCTTTATTATTCCAAACACAAACAAAGACGGGGATGTTCATAAAACAGAAAATGAAAATCCATTTCATTGGAGCTTTCAATTTGATGCAGTCTGGCAATGAAAATATTCCATACACAAACAAAAGAAGGTTTGAAAGGGTACCTACTATCCCAACCGAAATAAGGTGCAAGGTGGAAAACGATAAAAGCGTGGCGTGAGAGGTGAAGAAATCCAATGATTCTATTTCGCCGGGAAAGGTTTCCACCTCACCTTATTTTCTCACATTCTGCGGAGTCCGATCAGAAGATCTCCACGTGTTATTTTCCCTCGACGTTTTGCTCGGTTTTCCTCGGAAAGATCAACAGGGCTCCGAAGGGAAGTTGGCACGTGTAATAAAAAGCCACACTCCCAACTCGGATACTTGTTCTCTAAAGAAGAATGAGCTATTCTTCGATGCTTCAATCTTACTTCTTTGTATTATACTGTATAAACTATTATTATTGTAATAATTTGGAAAAATTACATATAATTTATCTCGTATTCTTTATAAGTTTTTTTATTATTTATAGAATAATTATTTTCTGTATTTGACCAAAACGAAATGTCAGCAACCTTAGTTAGATTCATTGATATATAATATTGTGTTTGCTCTCCATTTTGATTGTTAATGCAATATAATAATGCATGCATGATAATAATGCAAGCAATGTTGCCAGAGAAAGTCAATTGTCCTTTGATGGTCAAATAATTCGGGAAATGCCAACACTATAAAGAATTATACTCTACGCACTTCTATAATAGAAGACAACTTCAAAAGTGGTGAATTTACCTTTAATTGATGTCGGGCAAGAAAGATAATCTCGATCATTTTTTACGTGTAAAAAAATATTTTTCTTAATTAAATGAATGCGTTATCAGTGGCCGTTTTTAACTTAATATATTGAATCATATGGTAGTATTTACTTGTGTTACTCCCGTACTGACACATTTTACAAAGCACCTGCAAGATAAATTACACGACATTTCAAAAGGCGATTTGCAGTAGCTGCTTTTCTACTTTTCTTCGCCTTCAATCGAAGTCGAAGACGTGAGCAGTGCTCACATAAAGAAACGGTTCCGGTATCGCTGGGCTTTGAATAGCGTGTTGTGCAGGAAATCTCCACATGCTATGCATCACCGCGGCGCCGCGGCCCGCTGCCTGCCACTTGTGGGAATGTTCCCCCGTCCCACCGTTCCCCGCCAACCCCCTCCGGCTCCCACCCCCGCCGCGCGCTTGGCTGCCCGCCCGCGCCGCGGGGGCCTTTTTTTTTGCCCCCCCCCACCCCCGGGGGGTGGGGCCCGCTGACGACGGCCGGAGCCTATCCATCATCCGAGAGGCAGCCGGGCGCGCCGCTGCCGGCGCGGGAGCGGGCGGAGGCGGGGAGAGCCAGGCGAACGTGGCAGAGAAGGTGAAGGAGAAGGCGGGGCGGAGCGGGGCGGAGCGGGGGGAGCGGGCGGAGCGGGGCCGGAGCGCGGGCGGAGCGGGGCGGAGCGGGGCGGAGCGGGGGCGGAGCGGGGCGAGCGGCGGCGAGAGCGGGGCGGAAGCGGGGCGGAGCGGCGGAGCGGGCGGAGCGGGCGGAGCGGGGCGGAGCGGGGCGGAGCGGGGCGGAGGCGGCGGAGCGGGGCGGAGCGGGGCGGAGCGGGGCGGAAGCGGGGCGGAAGCGGGCGGAGCGGGCGGAGCGGGGCGGAGCGGGGCGGAGCGGGGCGGAGCGGGGCGGGAGCGGGGCGGAGCGGGGCGGAGCGGGGCGGAGCGGGGCGGAGCGGGGCGGAGCGGGGCGGAGCGGGCGGAGCGGGGCGGAGCGGGGGAGCGGAGGCGGGGAGAAGCCAGGGCGAGGTGGCAGAGAAGTGCGAGGCGGAACGAAAAAAAATCGGGCCCGACGAAGAATTTGAGAGGGTACGGCTGATGCGTATCGCGGAACGCAGCTACCCGACACCGCCATACAGAGGAGCAACGTTCCTCGTGTGGAGAACTTGCCGTCACTAGGGTGGATGTGAATCGGGGCGGGTAAGATCGAGACAAGACGGAGAGGGGTGAGATTGATCCATTGATTACTAGTGATTACGGAGGCGTCAACTGGTAAGGTTATTAGTTCCGTATGTGTAGTGCGTGTTTTTCTCGAGAGGTGGAGGTGGTGATCATGACCCGCAGAATACCGAGATCTGATACCGACCTAGAGTCGGCTTACGGGTTTTTCCCCAACCGCGAATCTGCCACCAGTAAAACAACGCTTCAGCCTAGACAAGCTCTAAGTTCCTGACCGGTGTCTCGACATGAGTGCTAGTGAAGTGCATGTTAGTGAGTATGTGTGTGTAAGGTTTGAGGATAGAAAAAGAAAGAGGAATGATCACACGCGGTCTGTGGCCGCTTTTGAGGGTACTGCTCCGGCATTCGCCTGGTATTGATCGAGGAAACCACGGAATACTACCGAACAGAGCAGACCGCCCAGAGGCAATTCAGTGACATCAATTAATGCTCTGAGCCACCCCTCCAGGTAAGACAGAGAGGGATGAGGCGTCGGAGAAGGGAAGTGGGACGGAGGAGGGAATAAATGTGCAGTGGCGTTAGGTAGAGAAAGAGAGACACAGAGAGAAAGGGAGAGAGGGAGAGGGGGAGGAAGAAGAGAGGAAGAGAGGGAGTGAGGGAGAGAGGAAGAGAGAGAGAGAGGGAAAGAGGGTAAGAGGGAAAGAGGGAGAGAGGGAGAAGGCAGAGAGGGAGTGTCAGTGGGGACGGGGTGGTACATTTTGGGGCATGTATCGAGGAGGATCACCGCTGATGGAAGAATGAAAGTTGGCAGGTTGGATATACTAGGAAGGTATCTGTTGGTGGTGGAGAAGCTAAATTGGACGGTACACGCGCAGGTAGAGAAATAATAAAAAAATATGCAGAAAAGAGGCGAAAAAACAAAAAGGAAGAGGATGGAAAAGAAAATTACGTTCAAGAGGAAAACTAAAAAAGCTCAAAATACTGTAGAGGAAAAGAAGACATAAAGATATAAAAGACCGTAATGATTATGAAAGCGTATCAAAAGCAAAATCAGTTAGTGATTTATATTTATTCATAATGGTATCCTCTACATTATTTGACCGGAGATGAATATATTCAAAATTAGGTAGGAATATTGAAATTAATGGCAATGGAACGATGGTAGAAATAAAGCTTGAAAAAAAATACCCAAAAAATCTTTTTCAATGAGAACTTAGCAATTTAGCATCATACTATTATGTGCATAGACTGAGAAAAAAGTAACTTTCTGTTAGGTCTTATCAACGAAAGTACTACAAATATATATGATTAATGACTTTTGTCTGATAATTAAACCATTTAGTAATTCTCTGAAAGGAACTGTTTGTGGTTTGAAAAAGAAACACTTAAGAAAATAATTTTTCGCTTCTTACAGATTAAGTGACTGCTTGAATAAAATGAAGTTTCCTAGCCGTCCGAGTAAAAGGCTTATTCTTTTAGCTTGTGTTTAAACTTAAAAAGAATTTTCAAAGATAATTTATCATCGTATATATCGCAAGTTAACGTGAAAAATCATGTATCGTCTTTCAATTTAAAGACGTTCTCAGAAATAGGATGCGTAAATTGTTTCCCTTTCTGAGCTGATAGATTAGGTTCGAGCAAAATGCACTGCATTGAAGAAAAATTCTAATTGCTAATTTTAACTTTAAATAGGAAAGGTGGAGTAGATTGGCAAGAGATTTAAAGAGGCATACCCTCAATAGAAAATAGGATAAAACGTAAGTTCCTCGGTCTTACTCAAAAGATGCTTGACTGTATGAGAGACACAGCAACTGAGACAGTTGCCAACGTTTCGTCGTCACACAGTGTCCTCATAGCTAAATGCATGCAGAACAAAATGCATTTCGCCTGAGCACGACGACCGAAACAATACCAACCTTGAAGAGATGATCGCAACAGCAGGAGAGTGCTGCAAGCATTAGCAGTCGGCTCGCGTCAATTGAAGCCGATTCTTGGGCTACAGCAGGGGCGGCGAAGGTGATAGATCTGCCATTGCCCTTTCCTGAGATCTTTCTTCACATCGGAAACGTTCCTGTCGTCATACATTTGGCCGTGAGGAAGGTTGAAGTACAACGACCAAACGCGCAGTACAACCAACGACCACGATGGAAAGCGTACTTAGGTTATGTCATCATTATGCCATCTTTCATGAATCCACCGCGGAAAAGCGATGGGCAAAGTATCAGGGTAGTGAAAGAGCCCTGAGTAGCCGGCTCTCGACAGATGGAGCAGGGGTCCGGGCTTGACCAAGGGCGGTGGAGGTGAGGTATCTATCATTACCACCCTTGAGATTTTTCATATTTCAGATCATTGGCAACGTTTCGGTCGTCAAGCATTTTGTCCTGAGGACGGTCGCAGTAGCACGACCAAAATGGTAGCAGCTGCGCCTAGATCTAGCGTCTCCGGGACACACTTAATAATCCACTAGGAGAAGCTATAGCCATGCAGTTTGCCCTGAAGAAGGTCGCAAAATCACGACCAAACCGATAGCAACTGTGCCTAGAGCTCAGCATCTCCGGGACATTCGATAATACTCTAGAAAAAGCTACAGTCATGCAGTTTGCCCTGAGAAAGGCCGCAATATTACGACCAAACCGATAGCAACTGTTCCTAGATCGCAGCATCGCCGGAACATTCGACAATCTATGAGAAGCTATAGCCATGCAGTTTGCCCTGAGGAAGGCCGCAATTTCACGACCAAACCGATAGCAACTGTTCCTAGATCGCAGAATCTCCTGGACATTCGAGAATGCACCGAGGAGAAGCGAAGTTTCGGCACTTTCTGAGGAGAAGCGAGGGGCGCAGTAGCTTGGCAGCGGAGGAGCCCTGCTGAAGCAGGGATGGGGCAGGAGTCTGAGAAGAAGGAGGGTGGGGTTGAAGGATAGCCGTCACCCGCTTCTCGAAGCCGGGCCGGCGCGCCGCCGCCGGCTGCCGGAGCGGAGACGGGGGCGCGCCGCGCGGCGGGACGGGGAACTGCCGGGCCCGATGATTGATGAATCCCGCACCCGCGCTAATATTACGTTTTATCGGCTGAATTATTTTTCAAACGCGCCACCGCCGGCGCGGCGGCTGCAGGCTGCGCGCTGACCTCTCGGACCGCCCGCCTCGCCTGCCGTCGGCTTTTTGCGTCCGCGAGGCGGGACTTCTTGCTCCGGGCTAGATATTGGCTGATTTGTTTGCCTTTGTACTTCGAGTTGCTCCTCCGTCTTCATTAAGTCGTGCTGTGTTTTATGAAGTAGAATATACGGCGCTGAAGTTTAGTGTTCGGGTTACTTACATGTACAAAGTAGACGTAGTAAAATAATATACTTCTCTCTACACGCTACATGTATTAATTGATACAGTATAAAACATAAAAATTGGTTTTCGTAAGTTAATTAACATTGTGTCGCCAGAAAGTAAGCAAGAAATGTCGAGAACTGAATGTGCCTGTGGTGCAGGAGTTATTCTTGCCCGTACGTACAGCACAATGCCTGCTTTAAGGGTCTCTTTACGCTCCCATTTCTAATATATAACTTTAAATTTTTTGAATTACATTTTCCGAAAATGTACATGTCCTCACTTAAAGATCTAATTTTGAAGAATGAATATTATTAAGAAAACAGGTATATCTTAAATATTGTAATTTTAGGAAAACGCCATAAAAATTAAAAACATTGCAATTTAAGAAAATTCAGATAATTCAAGGAAATTCATATTTGAGCCTTTTTTACCAGCGTACTTTGCTATACCTGAAAATATTTTAAGGAAAAAAATCTGTGCCATTTTTAAGAAAATTTAACCCTTAACCAACGGGCAAAATGGAAGGGACCGCAATATCAGCCAAATGGACCGTAAAATATCAATTTTCATGAAAAATTGCCTACAGTTAAACTGCAAGCCTGTTCATAAACGGTCGGATTGACGGACAGACTGTCATTTTGACGTCAACCAATTTCTTGGCATCAATGTTTCACAAAACGTGAATTTTGATTACACACAATTAGAGAAAGTAATTAACTGTACGTGGGAACAAGAGTTATCCCATTTTCGATATCAGGACCTCACATTAATGAGTTATCTGACGAAAAATTGCCCTATTCCGCTTCAGCATTATAATACTTTCTCTTTCCTAAGTAAGTAAGTAATGTACGGCGAGAAAGAAGTAATGTATCATCCATTGAATGTTTACGGCGTGTTAAACATATTTGTACACAGAACTCAGTATTTACTTCACCATTTTCCAAAAGCACAATATTTCGAGAATCATTTTGTATCTAGGTGACGTTAAAATGTCTTGATTTAACACAATTACAAACCACATTTAAATGAACTTGATGCGTTTAGTGCATACTTCATATTTTCTCATTGTAAAAACAAATATTTAAATATGTGATTTATTTTAAATCGACGTTTCTGCTCATGAGATAATAACACTTCATTAAAACATAAGTTTTTACAGATTGACGTTTTATGTTGAGCCACGTTACTTCATGAAATGCCATTTTTTATTTTTATCTCAGTGATTATTTGAGTTTTACTAATTTGTTCCTCGGACTACACGAGAAAATTGGACGACCTGCAATGTTGGAACATAACATCGACAGCATTCTCGTCATGGAGACCGCATTGCTCATTCCATGGGCAAGGGATGTGGG